TTCCCGGAATTTCCGCGAAAATATTACTGAAACCTACAGACATCATTCCTGAATTCAAAACTTTCCTTTGATTTTCAGGATCATGTCACTAGAAATTTTTTACAAAATGACTCAATTTTAACATTGCTTGCTCATTGCATTTCAGAAATGCAGCTGCCTAAAAAAGACACATCGATTCCTAGGAACAACGTTTTTTTTTTCTCGGTAAACACAGACAATTTCTCTGAGAGAAATCTCAGAGTGGAATGCCGGGATTTTTTTTCACTCTGGATTAATTTTTTAAAGATTCAAATTGATACTTGATTCATTCACATCGTTTCATTTCATCGGAAGATATTGTCGATTGGAGACAATTTTTGATGGTCATTGAAGGAGGCAAACCATTCATCTAAATCTCGCAATAATCTGCGAAAAATCTTATTCATTAATCTATTATTGAATTAATCCCATTATGTGTAGATCGCTGGAGACCAACGAAAATGTTCCAACCGTTTCAAACGAGTTGGAATGTTTTCTCTCTCCTTCTTCTCCATTTTCTTTCTCACTCGCACTCGTTAATTTTGGTGGAGGACGGGCACGTGACAGCGCGACGGAGACGACAATGAGTGGGAGCGAGCGCGATACATATTCCTTTCTCACTCAGGGGGGGAATAAATATATATAATCGAACATTACTATAGTAAAAAAAAAAACAAAATCTGCACAATTATTCAATAGAATCACTGGAAAACTATAGAGTTTTCCAGCGACAGCGCTGGGATTTTCTATGAATTTTTTGACCAACGTGTCAATGATATATATGTCGAGAAAAAGGAAAAGACTTTTAGATCATTAGATTGTGCATTCATTATACTATTGATTATAACATGTTCGATTTTACATTCCTGACAATTATTACAAAATGCGAGGAGCTACTGTATTGAGAACCCCTTTCCGGTTATCGACAAATTTATGCTCGGGCCCTATCATACCAACAGTTCCGTACGCTCCATCGTAGTCCATGCGCCACCGCTACGATTTTTGTTGTTGAACACTTTACATTGGCCCTGTTCATCTCCCCTATAATCTCTGTTACGAATACCAACTAAGACTTTCATAAGACAATTTTGCCAACGCAAAATAAAATTCAAATCTTCAAAACTGCGTTTTTCATTCTTTTCTATTATTATTTACACTCAGACCTCTCTGAAACCGTCGGAAAACAGTTACTCAGACAAAATGAAAAATATCTGTCCACCTTAAAATAAATAGAAACGATCCCAGAAAGTTCTCTAATTTTTTTCAAGAGAACTATAACACTTAGGCTCCGGAATCTTTCATTCCGTCAGTGCAACCAGTGTTTCATCCCCCAAACCCCCAACAATTGTCTGTCCAAATTTTCACGAATCACAATACAACTTCATGGTTATTGCTCCATAATTAATTTATTTCCACCTTATTTTTCCTCAGATGACCATATATCCATTTTCCTGTTAATGTAAATATTATCAAATCAACCTTTCACATGCATACACTCCAGTTAAATCGTGTGTGTCCCCACTTACAGATCCAAGTAGCACATGGCTGACGCGTAATGCGCAATATCGGGGTCGCGGGCTACAGGCAGACAGTTAGCGATAGTGTCCCGTGTCAGCTGGTGCCCGCCACATGTTTGTGAAATAACCCGACTGTAGGCGTGTCACCGGTTTATAAATAACTCCAGGTACTTATGCCACTTGTTACCCATTATTTTTATGTTCCTAAATAGACGGAAACAATTTTTCTATTTTTCCTTTAGTATTCACTTGCGTTAGTATCGACCACGCGAGCGACTCAGTGCATGCGTGCGCATTTGATTGTGTTCATGGAGATTCAATAGGCAACTTGCGTGAAGCTCAATTCTTTCTAATTCCCCTAATCACACATTCCTCATAACATAAGGATAGCTAAACGGCGAAAATTATGGAGAAATATTGTCCTGATGTCTTGTGATAATCATCTGAAAATCAGTCATTTTCGAGACCAATTTTTTGGTCATAACGTCACGAAGACGGTTAGGTAACGCTTCATTGGTCGAGTGTGAAGAGAGTAAGGAGTTGGTTGACCTCCATTGGATGGGGCCTACCTCAAGATTGGGTTAGGTCCGCCCGAGCCATGCTGTGATTAGTCCAGCGCTCGACCGTCTATGTAACGTCATCAGCGATTTCAAAGCCTTTGAAATCTTCGACTTTTAACAATTAATTATTAATGAATGAGCAATATTTCGAGAAATAAATTATTCATGTCTCAACACGTGAGATTATAAAATTGAAACAAATTCATATAAGTTCTCTATTATTCAATAGGTTTGTGCATTCCTATGCTTGCAAGTATCATGTGGTGATATGGTCGCAACCAAATTGATTACGTTTTTGAAAACATCTGGAATTAAATAGTATCCCATTATCAGCTCGTAACAAGAATTCATAGAGAAAAATTAGTACTCAAAATACTCATGATAAATCCGTTATACATCGCTGATTGACCGTTGATTTTGTACCGTGGATTCATAGATTTTGTAAAAAAAAATGCACCAAGGAGAAGTTTTGTTTGATTCTTACTGAACAGTGAAAATTTTTGAAAAATACAAAAAAAATTGAAAAAAAGCCAAGTCAGAAATGGCAAATGCGCTAGCAGAAATTGATCGAAATTCTGCAACATGGAGTCGAAGTGCCTATACCGATAACATTGAGTGTCGCGCCGCGACATTTTTGCGCCATGAAATTTCTACTAGGGCATAGGGCACAATCAGATGCCTATGAGAAAAATATTTCTTAATCGAATAAGGATTGCAGAACAATTATGAAATAAAAAATCTCTATGAAATAAAAAATCAGTAGAAGCAGGACCAACGCCCTTGGCACGGATCAGAACATAGAAGATTAAATGAACACAGAGAAAACACTATGCAGATAATCCGCACACACGGAGAGAAATTTTTGATAAAAACTATCGTACCGTTCTATAAAAGTGTATCATGAGTCATCGTTTCCTCATTTCTATCCCGAAATTTAGTAAAAATTAATATATGATGATCAAATTTTATTCTACGTTAGAGAAATTTTATTCTGATAAAAATAAAAATTAATGTGCCGGCAGAGTAAAAGTTACTGTACCGGTAGGGTACAATTTGTACCACAGTTTTCATCCGATTTCAACTTTTTTTTTAAATGTTTGCTATGCTTCAACGAACAAACCCAAGTATTCGTTTTGCTTTATATTTATCAGATAATGAGAAAATGATTTTTTTAGTTTCTATTTTTTCCCCTCTTTTTAGCAAATGCTAAAATTAGTTGTTTTTCGTTATTCCACGTTGTAATCATACGTAATCGAAATATTATAACAAAAAAATGGGGGGAAAACAACGAATTTTAGCATTTGCTAAAAAGAGGAAAAAAAAAATAAAGACAAAAAAAAACATTTTCTCATGATCTAATAAATATAAAGTAAAACGGATACTTGGATTTGTTCGTTGGAGTATAACGAACATTAAAAAAAAAATTTTGTAATCGGATGAAAACTGTGGTCCAAGGAGCATTTTTAAGCTAAAAACGTGAAAAATGATGTTTTTGGTGGATATACGGGGCAAAACGGCTCGGGTCCGAAATTTTTCTCACTTTTTTATATATCCTTTCATATATCAAAAGTCATCTGTAACGTCCAAAAATAATTCTTCATCATTTTATTGGGAATTCATCATCGTTCTAAATATTAGTGAATCCAATATTGAGAAATGGCCGACTTTCCGTCGTCATTTCCTAATCTTACTTCGTCCACATACATTTTCCACCCGTAAACTCAACGGAATTGAGACCAGTTAGCATAGCCCATGCTGTTGCTGCCTGATCAGCAAAAATTCAAGCGTTGCACCATACAATTTAAGGGGTTAACGCTCATTTCCACAATCAAAATCAAAAACCAAGCCAGTCGTTTATCGCTCCTCGTCCCGAGTGGTCGAGTCTTAAAGGGGGCTTCTCTCCCTTTAGGAGAAATCCAAATTTCTTAGTGATCGCGAAATTATTGAACTACTGGTGGAAAATGTTCACAAAATCGATCTACCTTCGCGTTTCTTCCCATATAGTAATTCGCTTAAGTCGATCCTATGCGTGGTAACCTATCGAATTAATAGTAGATACCTATCGGCCGTGTTTGCGTAGGGATACTGCATCCTTAAATCGAGAATAGTGTCTTTTCTTGCATATAAGGGACCTTCAATATTTTATTTCGCCTTTCATACCGGCCCATTAATTTATTTCTCTTCAATTCTACACAAACCTCTTATTATTTATCCAAGAGTGAAAGAAGGTGAAGGTTAGGTGTAGACTAATTGAAAGTAACGCCACATGGTTTCGTTGCCGGTGATGAAATCGTTAGTTTACCGATGAATTCATATATTAATTTAAGCAACGAATATTTTTCCATATAATTGTAAAATCTTAATCAATTACTATAAATCGAATAATCAATGCAAAGTCATTCATACTAATGTTGCTAAAATTCCGACAGTAAAAGTTATAGTTCTGATACAATTATAACCTTCTAAATCTGAAAACGTGTAAACATCTAAATACTCAATTGGTTAGAACTTTGAAGCCGATTAAATACATATAATAAATTGAATCAATCTTTTGATTCTAAATAAAACTTCAATTTATTTTTACGCCTGAACAGGACTGCATAGCGTCGTCCTCATAATAAAAACTAAAAGAGATGAAAGATAATCCTTCAGATTATTCTTTTATTGATAATTCTTAGTTTATGTTTCGAGAGTATTAAAATTAAAATATGAAAGTTGTCCTCCGACGCTGACACCATCTCCGGACATAACACATCCAATGGCTCTTAAGGCGAGCCGAGACTTTCAAATTTCACCGCGGTCTCCCCTTAAAAATTTTTTTTCTGAATGTGGTTTAACACTTTAGAAATTTCTCGATTATTTTGGAACACCTAAGAATTTTATTCAATTTTTTAGAAATTCCGGGAATTTCTTCAGAGTTTCTAGAAACTCCTTGAATTCACTTAAAATTTCCAGAAACTCCTTGAATTTTCTCGAAATTTCTAAAAACTCCTTGCGTTCCCTAAAATTTTCTAAGAATCCCTGATTTCCCTCGAAATTTGTAGAAGCTTCTCAATTCCCTCGGAATTTTTAGAAACTCCATGCATTTTCTTGAATTTTCAAAAAATTTCTTGAATATTTTAGAATTTTCTAGAAACTCCTTGAATTCTCTCGAAATTTCTAGAAACTCCCTGAAGTCCCTTGAATTTTCTAGAAAAATCTAGACCTGTAAGCTCAATTTCACAAAACGACTCCTCATAACTAAAACATAGACGTATCCTCATCAAAATTTCGCCCTTATGTGTAAATCATGCCAAATCTGTGCGGAAAGTACGCATAGATGTGCAGCTAATCCGCATAAAAATTGTGTATTTCATGCATAGCTGTGCGGATAATCCGCATAGCTATGCGGATAATTCGCATAGCTATGCATGATTCACGCACTATTTATGCATGATTTGCACATAAGAGAGTGATATCGGCTTATGTGTGAATCCCGCATAACTATGCAGATTATCCGCATAAGTGTGCGGATAATCTGCACAACGTTTTCAGTGTGAACACTCGACAGTGCATTGAAAAACTCCGCGGCAAGGACGTTGATCTGCGTTGATCCTGTGCCTACTGATTTTTTTTTTATAGAAAATTTCTCCCCAATCCTTACTCGATTTAGAAATATTTTTCTCATAGACATCTGATTGGGCTCTATGGACGCTCATTTCACATTTCTGACGTGGTTTTTTTTCCTTTTTTTTTGCATTTTTCCGACATTTTCGCTGATTAGTAAGAATCAACCAAAGCTTTTCCTTTGCGCATTTTTTACAAAAACATTTGTTTTTTGTTTTTTAAGGAGATTTTGCAATTATTTTTCAAAATGGTCACATGGTTATTCTCCTGACCTTTTACTTCTGTGATCTGAAATGGAATGAAAACGATTTTTAATTTTTTTATGCTCACGAAACGGAAAGGGCTACTGAATTTCAATCCGACAACTTTCGACCATTCATTTATGTACGGAGCCTAATTGAAAACTATCTGTGGAATCATTTTATCATTCATGCACCAAATTCAATTTGTACATTCCCGAGCTTCCTCCTTAGTGCGTGTAGTTGTATTGCACTGCTACCAACTCCATAACAAAAAAATGATAAGAGATCATGTGAAATGCGAGAATGTGCATATGAACCCATATGCACATTATGCGCATATTGTTTTTAAATTGATTCGGATAGAAAATATATACATCAATGAATAGCTTGTGGCAGATTTATACAGGTTGTCCCAGTTGAGAGTTATTGATTAAAAAGGGAAGATCAGCCGCAAAACACCCTCCTGTGAAAAATTCATATCTTCTCTGTCACTTGAGATAGAAGAATGGAAAAGATGGCAATCGATTGATTATTCAATGAACAATAGATCATTATGAATTTTGTTCCTCTATTACCAAAACAGGGTAATCAAAACTGCGACGAAATTTACCGTGACGTAAGAGCCATTTGAATCCAACACGCGATGTGACCCTAAAAATCAAAGTCCACGTAAAAAATCCATACCTTCTTTTTCACTTGATATCGAGGGATGAAGTTGATTGAAATCGATAGGACCTCCAATGCTTTCGCCCGACTGCA